AAAATGTAAAGAGAGTAATAAAGGAAACTGTTGAGAGTTTTATGTATAAAATTCACGAGATACCACTGTTGAAAAATATCCCTCGATCGGATCCGAGTTATTACTAGAACTCTCTTAGGATACGGTTATGGGTGTCTGGATGTTGGTTTAAGTTCTTATAGACTTCCACAGTCACATTCACATCCACACCCACACTTCTTATATACTCGTCCATAAAAGAGAATGAAAGAACAAGAACGGAAAGGGTAAGAAGGACAAAAAATATGTGTAATATGATATGGAAAAAGTACTACGCAATGTGCTAAGTAAGAATAAAAATATAAGGGCAATACATGGGATCAGAAGAGGTAGTAAGAAGAGGAAATTATCATCTATACACTGCATGCTACGGACACGTTACAACGAGGATATTGTCTTTAACGTTTGGTTTCTAATCGATAAAACTAACGTCGAAATTGCATCCTTGAATAGTTGTATATGCAAAATTTTGGCAGCCTGTAACAGCATGACTTAAATATGTTGTCAGTTCCGTACTTGTAACTTTACGTATCTCAGCCTTCTGTAGATTTGTAACTCTTGTTGCACATTCATTACAATTCATCGTTTCACAAGTGTATTCTCCTCGTAATCCTTTGATCAAATACTTTGTGAAAAAGCCATTTGTATCATCTTGATAGGATACTTGGCTATCATGTGAAGAACATAAAATATGAATTCCTTGCTTGGGATTCATCAAATGAGGGATAAATGGCTTGCCCATACCTCCAGAATAACAACTGTCTAAAATAAGAATAATTTTGTTTGTTTTAGCTTTGTTAATAATTTTTGCAAGTTCAGTAGCATACAGCTGTTTCTCATCGCCTGTAAGTAAATACGATTGATTCAATGTTGTTAGACCTCCATGACCCGAAAAATAGAATATAAATGTTGATCTTTCGTCCATATTATTAACAATACTCTGTAATTCATTTAAAATTCGTGCTTTCGTGGCTTCAGTATTTATGAGCATATGAAGTTTTTCTGGATAAGCCATAGAGGAATCCATTAACTGATTTTTAATACAAGAAACATCATGTGATGGAATACCTTTAAGACTGTTTGATGTACCTTCATAATCAATGCCGATCAACAGTGCATAGCAATGGACTGTGACCGTAGTTCGTAAAAAATTTTTCTTAATTGCAATGTCAGCTCGTCCTTTGAAGTTGTAATATTCTGCTAGATCTTCTTCTAATGCAATATATGCCCTCAATAGATGGTCATCTAAGGATGTTTTCAGATTGATTATGTTCCATGTAGGATGAAATCGACTTTTATGTTCGGTAAATGGCACAAAAGTGTCTTTTTCTGTTGGAATTTCAACATTAGATTCGAATGCTGCATTGGATGTACAGCATTTTAGACTTGGTTTTCCTGTGTTAATATTCCGGTAACCCTGAAAAACCCAAAGCAGATGATTCTCACAGCGATGTTCAGTGTGCATTTGATTATCGTTATCGCACATTTGTTTACAATATGGACAAGGTGTACCACAACCTTTGCTTCTGTTGTGAAATTCAACAAATAAGCGGTTCTTGAATTGGTCATTATTAATTAATCTCTGGGTTAATTCTCTTGAACGGACGTCATCGACAGAGAGTTCTTGAGACATTGAAGAAATAGCTTTTAATAGACGATGTCGATCAGCAGTTGTTGGAATCGTTCGGATTGTAGTTGAATCCAGAAACGGAAAGCTACCTTGTGATTCCCTTAATAATAATTTATTCTTTGTATATTCTCCATTTATTAGAAATGTTTTTAAACAATCAATTAAATCAGCAACAGATTGAAGGTCTGCAAAAGATTGAACAGCTTCATGCCAGGTAAGAATCATTCGTTGAAACTTTTTTTTCTCATTGGACAAATCTGAAGAAAGATGGTTGAGTGTGTTTGTCAATTCAATTTCATATCTTTCGTCAAATTTTGAACGAAGCCAGTTCTTGACATAATCTACGGGATCTTTAATATATTTGAATATCGATTGATAATCAATGGAACGAAATAATTCATAAACACAATTTGCAGCTATAATTGATGGGTGATACTGATCCCATGTAGCAAAAAATCTTTCGAACCGATTTTGACATTGTTTTTGTACATCATTTTCAATCATTGCCCAAATCTGTTTTATTAAAGCCTGACCATGTTGTTCAGCTGTTGAAGCATTAGCAATATTTTGTTGAACTTCTTCTTTCGCTCGTGAAATTCGTTGTTCAAATTCAGTAGTAAGTTTATTAACAACATGATTATAATGTTGATCGCAGAGTATATTTAGCATGATTCCATAACATGTATACCAAACATTTTTTATCAATTGATCTTCTATGCAATTATCTGCAATCGATTGTCGAATATGCTTAACAGAATCATTGGCCAAGTCTGGTATTGGCAATAGATTGCAGTTGCGATACTCTGGACCGTTTCGGAAGAATGCGTATTCTCTTTTTAAAAAATCTAACATTTTTTCTATTTGTTGGTAGTTGTTCTTATCCTTTTTATTCTTAGGTTTGAAAAACCCGATGATAGTTAAAACTATGTTTGCAAAAATGCTAATGCCATGTTGAGCACTAGAAAATAGGAGATTCTCTTGTGCCATAGCTGGCAATGGACTAGAAATGGTAGATATAGCTAATTTATGGTCTTGTCCTTGTCTACAGTATTCACCAAGAACTGCCTCATTAATCTTTGAAATCAAAGTTTCATTCCCAATATTCGTCTTAAAGAAGCTTACACCTACTTCATCAATTTGATTTTGTCGAACAAAATTGTTAATTAATTGATTTTTTAGTCGAATTGATTGGTCTTTATAATTGTTTTCTAATATTTCTTTAAAATCCCTGAACAATGTTATACTTGCATTTGTAAATAATGTTTCGAATTGATCAATATTTCCGACAACATTTTGTATTTGTTTGATTTTTTCAGACAAAGTTTTCGGTATATCGGCCAGTTTTTTTTTGAAATTCATCTTGTTGAAATTCTCGTGCTGCGGCTGTATAATGATCAGTTTGAAAAAGTTCTAAACTTAACATTAATCGAGATTTTGTATTTTCAAATAACGTCTCGGGCAATGCTTGGAGATTGTATTGTTTCATTAAACTTGTTTTTTCATTGGGTAATGTTGTTAATAATAATTTTTCACGAAGTTCTTTCTTGAAATTAGAAAGTTTCCATTTAATATCATCTAAAAGCTCCATATAATCTGATTTATTTCTTGTATCACTTTTTAATATATCCTCGACAATCTGTCTCATTTTTGAATTTGCTTCGGTTAAAATTTTATTCGAAAATGTTTCTAATGCTTTTTCAATCGTAAGATGTATTAATGATTCATAGTCAAATAGATTTGAATTATAATTTATTTGTTTCCAAGTTTCTAATGTTAAATCTATCCATTGACTAAAAGAATCAAACGGTTCTGAATCAGCTAAATAATCAATAAGTTTTTTTCGTAATGATAAAGCTTGTTGACAAAAGCTATGATTAAAAAATGACATTTCTCTTTCATCAACTACTATATCAACAAACGGTGAGGGAAATTCATGAACATCAAATTTCTTAATATTTTTTTCAATATTAATATTGAGTTGTTCGCATACTTTCTTAATATCATTAAATAGTTCTTTAACTTCATCAAGTTGTTGTGTTTCTCCCATGGTTCGTGGATCTTGATCTCTGAATAAAAAAATAATTTTTGGTTTATTTGTTATTCTTAATTTATTAAGACCATATAAAACAATTTCTAAGATTTGTTGCATTGTTTTATTAACATTTCTTGTAATATTAATTAAAACTATATGAGATCGAGCCATGATTTCTAGAACAATTTTACGATCAAATATTTGTGCTTCAGTATTTTTCTTTGTTCGATCAAGAAGACCTTCCGTATCGAGTATGAGAATGTCTTTTACTTTTTTATGTCCAGTAATATTTACTCGACTAGCTAAAATTCCAGTTGTACATTTGAACTTGGCTTCAGCAGTTTTTGTTCCAAAAATTTTGTTCATTGCAAAACTTTTTCCACCACTTTGTTCACCAATGATTGATATTGTATAAAAACTTTTAAAATCTTCAGAATTATTTGCAAATGTGTCTTGAAATATCTTATTATGAGTTACAGAAGATGTTGCATTAATGATTTCAATATATTCTTGATGTCGAAATGAATTTTGATAAATTTTGACTAATGCTTGTTTCATAAGATTACTATCGTCAAATAAGCAATGAATATTGTTACGATTTTCATATCCTGTAGATCTTTCTTGAAGTTCTCGTAAAAAACATTCTTTACTCATTTCTAACTGTTGAAGTATTGAGATAGATATCTGTTGTTTTTCTTTTCGTTGACGTTGCCATAATGTTGTATTCCATAATAGAACAGCATTTTCAAATGGAACAGTATCATTATTATTTTCAATGGATAATTCAGCCAATCTAGTTAATAACGGATGTGCTTTCTTGAAACATTGTTCATGAAGTTTCTTTGTAAGTTGTTTCTTTTGGTTCTCTTCCATCGGTGAAAGAATTATTCTTTCTGATAGTTGTTTAAGTTGAGACAGTGGAAATAATTCTAGAGCTGGATTATCTTTTGATAAATTCTTCATTATCGAAGCGAATTCATTAAGTAACGCTTTGCTTTTGACGAACGTACGCATATCCGTTGATAAATTGATGTTATGTTCTCTTATGAATTGTTCTGAGATATCGAACAATGAATCTATGGGAATATGAGCTTCTTTCAATAAGCTAAGTATACCTAACTTCAAGGTTTTACTTTTTTCTTTTAAAATTGTTGCTGCTCGAAATATATAAATATTTTTTACTTTTGAATTAAAATGTTTCATAATAAGTGAGCGCAGATTTTCGTTGATTTCTATACTTAAAATGTCGTCATGAATAAAAATAAGATATGTAGCTGTCTGATTAAAGTTAATATCAGGCCACGGTAATGAATCGATTTCACTAATATCCGAAGTATCCAGATGAATGATGATCACACTCATGAATTTGATGAAAAAGTTCGGCATTTGATTCCAATCATGAGTACCATGCAAGTCGAGTGCATGACATTGATAAATTTTAGAAACTTGATTGTCACTGTCTCTGTCTGTTGCATATTGATGACTGAATGCTATTTGAATCAGTTGATTATGATAAAATTTTGATGCTATTTCAGGATTAAATTCTTTTTCACAATGACAATCAAAATTTGTTTTCAATATTGCGTTAAGTAACATCGTTTTTCCTTTGCATCATCGAGTACCAAATGATAAAATGAATGGAAGTTGTTGATAAATATATGGAAGAAAAGCATGTACCATTTCTTGCATTAGAAAATAAAAGATAATTGATGAACCAATAGGAGATGGCACACCAAAATAAATTGGAATTGCTCGTTGAAACATACAAAGTTGTTGAATAATTAATGTTCTTATATCAAATGATGCATATTTAAGAATTGTAATGATAACATCTGTCGAAGATATTTTTATATTAATTTCATCAATGAGATGTTTCAATGAATTATTCATTCTTAAATAGTCACAAACAAATGGAATACTATTCTTGAATAGAATTTCATTTGATGATGGATACGGTATGTTGGAGAAATGATTTATTTTCCATACGGTACAACCTTGAGCCGCAAAAGGAAAAAGTTTTGATGCGCCATTTATAATTGAAAGATGATTTTGCTCGAATTCAATAATTGAATTGATTAATTGAATATTTGTTTTTTGTGTATAATCAATGGATTCTGATTTATGCTGCGATTTTCCCTTATGATGAATACAAAAGCAATGTTGACAAAAGAATATTTCTGTTTCGAAAAAATCACTGCATGTAACACATTTATAACCACATCCAGTAATAGGATATTTACATTCACGACACAAAATTTGTTGATCCATCCTTAATTCAAAATCATATTGTAAATAACATTGAATGTAAATTAACTAACTTCATTTAATTAGCAAAACTTTTGAACAGAGATCAAGAGTATATTTCAAAAATCAAGGAATAAAACTTTATCTTAAAGAGTCTAACCAGTTTAGTGTATTATTCATATTTTTTCAATTCGCTATCTATGATATTGATAGAGTCCTTCGGAATAATTCGGATCAAAAACTAAAAAAAATTCATTTTGTTTTTGCTCATTCGCAAATATTTTACCTAATTAAGCGATAATTTTTGGATTATAACTACTACCCATTTCAAAATAAAAGGCGACTGGGTATTTTTTGAATAACTTTTGATAGAAATAAGATAGAGAGTTGGGGTTTTCACCTTTGGAAAGAGCCGACGAAAACGCATCGAACCATATAAGACAATAACTTTTAAATTGGACTTTTGAGACTTGTTGCAATAATTGTATTAAAAAATCTCTGAAAAACAGATCTGATTTTTCTAGGAAAAGCAAAAAAAACTGGCAAATACTGAGTTTATTTTTTATAGAAATTGCTGACAAAATCTCTATCTGTTGACGAAAGAATATTTAAGAATCGTTTACTAAAAAACAAAATATCAGCGGAAATTTTTATACCTGAGGGTATAGGTGTAGCTCGTCAGAATAATAGTAAACACCTACATCCACATTGCAAAAATGATTTTTATATATTAGAAAAAGTCTTTTCGCCTTCTAAGATATTCTTAGATGACTCTATAAAATTTCAATAATGGGATAAGTGTAAGTATTAACCTAAGTTCAGACAGCTCAAAAATTTCAAAATTTGCCCAAATTATCCTTGAAAATATAATAAATTTAAAGAATATTGTTTAAGAATTCAAAGTATAATATAATCTATTGAGTTTATTGATAATCGTTCTCTGTTTATTTGAACAAGATTATTTCTCATTAGTTCAAGATTCTTAATATGCATGCCTATTTCGTTTTGACTTTTCTGCTCGCTTGTCAGATCAATAGATTTCGATATGTAATCAAGTATTTCCATAATAAAAATAAAATTTTGGCAAATATCAGGCACAATTTGTTATTTCTTGACGTTCTTAAAGAATCTAAATATCGATCAATAATCCTTAAACAATGGTTTTAAGATTCTCGCGGTACTACTGAAGCTTAGTCACAATGTCAGCCTCACCATCATACTGATTGTTGCGTTCAATGTACTAATCAGTGTAAGGGTGTGACTAAACTGCAGAAGGGCCACCCTCGATTGTTTAACTGTAAAACAAAGAAAATGATTTCTAATAATCGAATAAAGCTGAAAAAAAAACAAATTGATTCGATTGGGTTTTTTTTAAGAAGTCCTTTTTTCTTATTTGAATCGACTGAGACGAGTCGAATTATTCGATAATTCGATTCGATTTCGATCTCTGCTTCTTAATTCTTTCTTTACGAAAAAAAACTCTTACCCATAATAGTTTTCTATTAAAAATTTCCACTGATGATTACAAGGAGTCCATTGATAAGTTCTTCTATTAAAATAAAAGATCATGCAGAAATCATTTGATCACAGGCGGAGAGGAAAGAAAGTGAAAAAACAAAAGCTTCAGCTCATATGAATAATATAAAATGGCACTCAAGACGCTACAGTAAAATACAAATCGGTATAAAGAAGCATATCCAACTCTGTAATATGTAACATACGAACTAGAAATTTTTTTTCAAACGTTAAAATTGATAGATCTACAGATTTTTATGAAATTATATCACAATCAATTCTATTAGAAAAGTGAAATTAAGAAAGATATCGATGTAGATGTCAGTTTGTGAGAGTACCAGATGATCTGTACTATATCCACCTTTAATTTGAGTTTTTATTCCTTTTAAAAGTACATTTCCTAGGCAATTTGGTCATCTAATTTACTTTCACATGGTAACGCCACAAAAATTAGAAGAACTCGAGATAATTAATGGTGGATATTCTTTTTTTTTCATCTATCTGAATGGTGTTGATCTATTTATTATAGAAATTTCATATCCCAGCTATTTCATCTCAGATCGTGATCACTAAGGAAGCTAGGGTGGTGAAGAGATTTAAAAATGCCTAAAAAATGATCAAGTTACCCACAAACGACCACTACCTTTGGGACAAACTATTTTCTAGCATTAGTCTTTGTTTTGGTCACATAATAAAATAAATCTTATAAGTATATTTATCTATTACTCTAATAAACCAATGGATCTGTTTCAAAATCAAAATTCATCATATAAATACATCTTAAATACGAATTACTTCTATAAGGATTTTTTTGCTGTCAGCAAATAAAGTAATATACTGTTTATTTAATAGTTTTACTCCACAAGAAAAATTTTTACTCAGTTTAGATTTAGTTTGATCTTTTCAATAATTTCTTTCTTTAACGTTTCTAAAATCATAAATTCTAATATCTTCTTTTTGTAATCAATTTCGGATATTTATCTTATAAAATAATCCTGATAATTTTTGATGATATACTTGAACTATTTTCGATGAATAATTCAATATTTGAATCATATTTTTCTCTTTTTTTTTAACCAACTAGTAAAGTATCCTTTTAATGTATTAAAAGTATGCCTAAATATTTTCTTTAATCAATAGAAATCTTCTGATATTCTATCGTAAGCTAATTCTCCATAAAAGTACTATCTGTCTAAATTTATTTCAGTAGCAATTTTCTGTATTTTACTTCTAGTCTTCCTGATATCGAAACATATCTTTGTCAACTAATCAAACCTATTTATTTATTCCGACACTTTCTAAGCCAAAGTTTCTAACGACAAAATTCTGTAAGTTGTTAATTCTATGATCTTTTAAAAGAGAAGTATCGTCATCGAAACTGTTTAATTTTTGTCCGACGAATTATGTTTTCATCTATTTTAAAAAGATTATTTTGATTAAGATATAATATGAAATGAAAATTGAATTCAATTAATAGAAGAAAAAGATATATTCTCTCATATAAATTTTTTTTATGAAAAATTTTTCAAAATATTTTCTTATTATTCTGATCATTGCAAAATTGCCAATAAATATTACAAGCAGAGTTAAACCAATGTTTTTACTGATTTACTTAATTAATATATGGAGGTAAGTCGAAACGAAAACTGTTTTTCATTCATCTTATCATTTATTTTTTCTAACATCAAAATTTGAAAACATGAGAGATGAACTTAAAACAAATTTAGTTTATTGTTTTTAAACTAATTGTAAGGTTTTCTGTTTTTTTTAAATATTCAATGAATTTTAATGAATTTTATAGAAATAAAAATTTATTCTTAGAGGTTTTTTTCTTCTGAAAAAAAAAACATACAACTCAATAATAACATTGTAACAATGTTTTATAAAGAGTGGTAAACGTTTCTTAACAAATTTAAAAAAATAAATAATGTTAATTCTTTTGCTTTTTATATCAAATAGATCAATTACAAAAAGAATATTGCTGTAATTGTTATTATAATTAGTATAAAAGAAACATTTTTTCCACTACAAGATTGAAAAATCCACCAGGCACTAATGCATAATTTTATAATGATAAAAGCATTTGAACAATTCACTCCATGTTAAAATTTTACAAAAATTTTGAATCGGAATAATGTTATTCCTCTGCCTGGAATTCAAAATCAATATCCTCAATGAGTTTTATCTCCTTCAGAGTTTGACCAATAGAACTAATTTCTGAATAATAATCAATTAAATGTTTAAATATAGATAGCCATCAATTATTTAGAGTTTCGTTTTCAATACGATTAATTATTATCACAGCAATTATTAAAATTTTTATTGAAAAATTAAACCTACTAGAAGAATTGCTAGACTTTTCCTATTCTCGACCTTTTTCTTTTACATCACAAATGCACAATATCTCTTGTAAATCTCTTCAAATTTCTTTCTATTTCTTTTTTAATGCATAATACTCAATATTGCGAGATGTATGAGGAAAGTATAGATTCATATACTCGTCTTCTTCATTAGTCTGAACAAGTCAAACTGTGTTCCTAAAATATAACGAAATTACTCTGATTCATCATTCAAAATCGAATAAAGATCACAAACTAAATCTAAAGAATACCATGGTAATTTCAAAATATTTATCTTATCTATTATTTGATGTTCACAATCAAATTAATGAATAAATTTTTTTATGTATGTCTTTACTGAAAGAAAATTTTCTTTAACTACAACTTCACTATAATATTTTTAATTTATATATGCAATATCATAATAAAACTTAGCAATCATATTTGTATAACATCATCCTTGTTCATGTCTTTAACGATTTCTGAACAAATGATACTCTTCATTGATTTTGCCTGATTATGTTATAGCTTGCTCTTTAATTGTAACACGTTTATCTTTTCTTTCAGACTGACATAATCATGTTTTTCAAATATCTCTGTATACGATTCATGCTTCCCTATTTTTTAACTTTTATCTGAAAAATATGATATTATTATTATCGAAAGAACAGATCTTTACGTCAAAATAAGATATCACTTAATTCATAAATAAATAGTATTTTATATCTATATAGTATTAATAAAAAAAATATGGAAGTAATCAAGCAAAAATCTATCTAAAAAGAAATTGTTTAATTTAAACAAAGAATCGAGTCAATTACTTGTTAGATTATGTGTCTGAAACCAGTTGTCTAAATTTTTCAAAATCTTACCTTATTATTGTCGTAATTTCGTAGTATGAAACAAAATTTAATAATGGTAAGGTAATGTGCAATCACACTCTTGTAGCTTCTTTTCAAATATTGTAGTATACTAATATTCGACTGATGAAAACAAAAAGTATAAATATCCCAATGGCTTCCTTTTACCACATATATGGCAAAGTTGTCACAATCAGAAATAGATTTATCCATAGTATGGATCTGTTTATATAGTGTCTGTTAATAGGAGACAGTCAAAAAAGACCAGAGATGAAACTATCATTAAGGGAAAAGATAAACATACTATACA